CCGATCGATGTATTAAACAAAAGTACGTGTTGGAGTATGACGTATATATGACGCACATTTTCAAAGATAAGTAAGACAGTCGAAGGCATCTGTAAAACTTTCGATCCCGTCTATATGAACGGATCATTCTAATAATTAAATGTATATAACTGTATTCATACTAAATTTTGGCTCCGTTCATAACATAAAACATTCCAGTCTTTTCTTGAGTGAACATGACTCAAAACAATATGTTTTTTGAAAGCATGCAACAAAACGGCACATTTTGAACAACTTAGGTGGTACAAAAATAGTAAAATATTTGTCCTTGTATCACATTTACCAAAATACCGCCATTGTAACTACTGAAGCAGGAGATGACCCATGACAATTTGTTTAAACACGGAACAGGTCCATATAAAAGTGTCCGGGAAATTGTCTAACAGGGTCTCTTCTGAGTTCAGAATATTTCCGACTTATATCCCATTGAAAACCGAAAGGTCGAGACAAAATTTCCCTCGTGCATTAACATTTTAACGTACTCACAGCACAACAAAAGAACTGATACAATATGAAAATGAGAAATATAATGTATATTCGTTTCAAACGCGTCAGTGCGTGTCACGCACCTACTCATAGTTATGCACATCGCGACAACGTGCGATAATATATAAACTACTTACAGCAATCCGCCTACATGTAGACAAACCAATGCCATATTGAAGCATCTGTCCATCATAAATTCATAAACGTAGAAACGAGTGTAGATGATTTATTATCATTCCTCACTCGATATTGACATTCACCGCAAACAAGCATGTTTGCAAATCTCCACTTACAATATCAACAAAATTCTGGTTATTACTAAAATATAAGAAGATAAACCTATCGATTTTCATATAGTGCTAGGTGTGATAACACAATAATTCATCATTTTCCCGGAAACAAATTCATATCCCTATTCAAAATTATTATTATATTTTATTTTCACAATAGAATTTGATACCGATATTAATAAGACAGACGTCACTTCATCGAATGACGCATGAGTTGCCTCGCGATTCTCGGAGATCAAATATTTGAATATTGTGCAAAACGTTGTTAAATACAATAATGACATGCAGTGTGATGAATTCAATCATTATGGGATGGAACTGAAGTAAAACGATTCCACTAAGTAGCATTGAAGAATGAACTTGACATATCAAAGTATGTTTACTCATGCGTCAACATAACAAATTATCTTCACCCAAATCCGAAAACAAATATTAAATATTTATATTCGAGATAATATATATTTCAAAAAAATGATGACGTATATACAGCACACAGAGGATCATATGTGTAAATTTAGTATTTTTAGTCATGGCTTTTTCGTGTGAAATACAACATATGTATTGTACATGAACTTTACACTACACGTGGGCGTGTCAACATTGATATAAACATCAATCAAAGATTGATATCAAATAAGTCAACACATCGATGTAGAGAAATCTACTACTCTATTACTATACATGATAATATCGATGGTTAGACAAAACACTAAACTCTGAAGTGGAATACATAATATTTCGAACATATTTCAATACATATTAGCCACTATAAAAAATTTAGTTAAATTCTTTATCATTTTTGAATTTAACTTCTGAAAATCGAGGAATTATCTTCAGCCTCATTTTGCTGTGCCTTGAACGTATTATGAGTTATTTCCGCAACAAATGCACATGGCTTGGTCATATACACATTACAAAATACGAAATACACATTTATTTTCCTAAGAAAACTTTTAAAAAAAAAAAAATTTTAAAAAGCGAACAATTTTCTTTTACGCCAATTTATATAATAATTGATGCATCACAGTTATGGTGAAAGTGAATTGGTATCATCCATGAAAACAGAGACCCTAAAAAACTTACTGCTGTAAAACCTATGCGTTTTACGTTATATGACATACTAACTGATACGTACATAGAAGGGCATGTCGTGGTTATCGATTTCGTTTGCTCACTAGCCAGCATCTTCTCGTTCAATTACAGAGAAGCCTGTTAATTCACACGACATTAAATCCATGTTGATTCTGTTGATACAGACCTCCTCATATAGAAATTATTACTTGTCGCCCCCCCCATACGTAAATCATCGAATAATATTCGACTTCGTAACTGACGATCCTTAAACTTTAGAACAGGATTCATCAACGTTACTTGTATCTCGCAAGCAAGGAAATATTTATTAGCATTACAATTTATCAAATATCATTCACCATGCAGTCTTGAATATACAAGTTAGATAACTAAACGCATAAAATCGAAGCAAGAATTCTGCGGCATGCCTTTATAAAGAGTCTGCAACGCAAAGACAATTTATTTGTTAACTTTATGATATATACATTTCTGATATATACACGTAAATTTATCGACGCTGGATAATTAATTTAATCATACTTTGGAATAGCCCTTATATAATCAAAAATATATTATGTTCAATACAAAATATTGCGGCATTTCGTCAAATAAGTACTTGAATAAAAGATAAACCAGTCACAGCTGAAGGGAAATGGTGGTCGTCTCGCCGTGCCGTGTTCGATATGGGATTTATGGCGATGTATATAACGCGTAAAAAATGTAACGGAAGCAAATCGTCGCTAGAGGGGGGAATTTGTAGGAAATGAATATCGCAACGAGTGTGTAGTGCATCGTACATAATTAACCACTATCACTGTCATGAGTTTATTCAATAATCGTTTTTCATCTTAAAGTCGTTTATCGAGTTTCTATTCCTGGAATTATATCTACTGATTTTGTTAAAGAAAATTAACAATGAAATACATATGTGTACGATGTTCAAGAATACGATTTGTTCAGGTGTCCAATTAGGCTACTGTACTGATACTACTGTACTACTGATATGAAGGCCATTTTAATATCTGGGAAAATTCAGGATGCCAAGTTTATTTAGAATACTTAATATAAAAATATGATATATTATCATGTTAATGACGAGAACATTGACCTCAAACATCAGAACAAGTCGTCTCTAAGGACGACAATGACTCAGTTGGTGGCATAATTTATATACATATCATAAGTAAACACCCGACGACATTAGTGAAGATATCATTTCGTCAATGTCACATTTCCGTGAAAACTAGTAATGCTTTAATTGACAATAAATACTGGCAGTGAAAATACTGCCAATGATAAATGGGGTAATATAAATTTATAGTGCATGCCCATTCAGATAACTTAAGCGTATTTATCGTCAAAATATACATTTACGAGAGTATTGTGTTAACTTTGCAAATATGTATTTGAAATCACCTTGAACCATGTACATGATTCATAGTTTATATATACTCACTCAATCACGACAGGTTCACGTTGTTGTTGTTTTTTACGCATGAGTTGGACAAATGTCATTTACAATCATTATGATTATAAAGCCATTCCGTTAATTTCTAGGTTAATGTTCAAGATTCAGTGGCGATCATTAAAATATGTATGGTAAGCCGTGTATAGGTGTTATATCCATGTAAATTCTTCATCTATCTCGCTTATTTTGGCGTTTTTTTTTTGGTTTGCGTCGATTAAAGCCAACTCGTACGTATCGTACGAATAAGTGACAATGGCAATAACGTAGACATATCAGCAATGTATTACCTGTATATTAAATGAACTACAGAAAATATATAAGTTAATCAATTATTTTATTGTCAGAGAAGATGACATAAAAAAGTACTGTGCATCAGAGATAGGAAATAAATAAAATGATATTTTTTATAACTTAGATAAATATCTTATGAAAAACCCCCATAGCTAATCAATGCATAATAACACTGTACCAATACACGGGATTATTAAATTCAGTCATTTCAAAGGTGGCATTTGTCAATTTCACGAAATGAGGTCGCTCGTGTATCATACATATCTATCGTATATTAGCAATTACAGGTAAATGTACACGTGCTGTTTGTTTCTGTAGAATGTTACATAACTGTTATCTCGTTCGTCTCGTACGTTGACTAGCGACAACCATGTGAATAATGTTACTGTCATGTCAGTGGGAAATATTTAGACAACTACGAAGAAGTAATAGTGGAAACAAAATACAACTGAAACGTGTAATCGTAAAACTATTATATATATATACGTTGATATCACTACATATGAAAAAAGTGGAAATAACATATCTAACTGTAGATCGTTATACAAAACTCGTACGGTAATTTTACAACAATATTTAAAACGCCGACAGTTGCAGAAATACATTTACATCACTAAATCTATTGAAACATCTATTAACGAATATTGAAATTGGAAAGAACAATGATGTTTCGTACAATGAATTATAAAAATACAAAATCTCCTTTTTGATACATTTGATTCAATATGTCGTGGCTTAACTGACTAGATATTTATGGTCTCAATATTGAAGGGAATTCGACTTACTAAAAACACTTAATTCTGTAAATCCATACACAACATTGCACTTCACTTATAATTGATTGCTATACATCCATTGTCAGAGAGGTCAATACCACGGGATGTAAACCGGATTTAATAATGCCGTGATCGAGGAGTGCATTTATTCTGAAACGATGACTTTACTAAAATGTTTACATAAAAACATGACATGTTCCAATTACTCCCTGCAAGAAAAATGATTTATAACTGGTCTGCATGTCGTAGATAGCCAGGTCCAGTTTTTTTATTTTACGTACTAATTATTGCACCTATTTTGAATCTCAAAACATATAAATTCATGGCGGAAAAATATTCACGTGTTTCCACATTTTTAATCTACTTCTTAACAGTATATGCTCACTGTTTCGTCTCTAATATTGACTCAAAGTACGATGGGAAGTCAGTCGCAGTGGTTGATTTCTTTGCCTCCTGAGTCGTACATTGTACGACTGAACCAACATGGAAGCGCCATTGTATAGTTGCGTGGCAACGAGAATCGTTCAACTTGTGCAGCAGGCATTTCCCACATTTTGCTTTGTCTCTAATACTGTATGGCTAGAAAGTGTGTTCTTCCTGAGGGATGATTTCCAATAATTTTTGCAAAAATATGGTGACAGAATCTGAAATTGAAATGAAAAGAAATCAAAGCATTAAGTTATCAGGGGCTGAAAAAGACTTGCGTGAACGTGAATTTAATCTATCGCTTTTTTATCTCAGCGCGCATGTATGTGCGCAGCGCGCTTAATGCGCACGACGTCGAATAGCGCGGTCGAATTTCATGCAACAGTTAGTTTACGAGCAGTGTATTTATGTAACACAGTCTTTTACATGACGCAGTGGGACAATTTCGACTACTGAGACAAACGTCATATCGTGCATCTATCTGCTTCTGTGTGTTTATAAAGAATTTGTTGATAAACTTGTTACTTACGCATCATTCGTTTGTACCCTCTGGGTTTATTCTTCCAATATACACCAATGTAGTAAACGGGTACACCAGTGAGAGCAATGCCTAGACCAATTCCACAGTCATGAGGTGCGGAGTAGAGGGATGTACCAACCATGAAAAATGCGCACAGGGCAAAGATGATTGGAAGCACGAGTGGAACCTGAAACAAGCAGAACACAGAAATTGAGTTATTACATATATCCCTCCCTCCTCCATTCTGAGGGGGGGGGAAACAGCGTGACACAAGAACGGAACTGCCTCAGGAAACTGTAAGGTTGTGATATCCGTTACAGCCTTCACAAAGAAGAAAAAACGGGGCTAGTAACGTGGGGAAAATACCATTAGGTTATTAGCTTATATACGTTTACATTATAATTTCCAATACATTAGACTACAGTGAGATGAATTCAGTTTACATATCTGACAAAAACATACAGTTTTAAGTACTTTTGAAAGATATATGAAAGGCATTATCTCATTTTATATTCAAATGAGAGTACTTGTTGTCGACATGTTTTTAAAAGAATGACAGTGATTGATAGTCCGTAACAATTATATTGGATATCAACGTTATGGCATGCAATATACAAAGGGTTAGGTAACATTTCATTGCACGCGGGTCGATGCTATCTTACTGTTGTACTTTTTTTCCATTTCCTTTTTCAGATGTTTCAGATAAGATATGATCTATACATCATTGACGCTGTCTTGTCGCGGTTCGTTGCACGCACTATTAGGTTTCACTTGTATGAAGTCACTAGCTATCTCGAATGTTAACATAGTGCAGTGAATGCATGTGAAAAGTTTCCCACGTGTTTGGCGTTGTGTTTCAATGGTTATAACTCATTTCTATATTAAATACCGAAACATATGTAATTTGTAACATGGATAATAACAAGACTATATACTTAAAATTACACAATCTACCGAAACATAACATATTCACATATAAATACACTTGTGTATACAGTCTCCTTTTATAAACAAATATATTTATCGTACTAATACAAGAGTACTCCACATTTGGCTTAACAATTTATAAAATAAATGATTTATTCCACGGCAATTTAAATTGATATCTCATCGACTTTTTCAAAAAAGACCTCGCCATGCACTCCGTTTAAAACACGTGATATATTTTAAATAAAAGAAAGAAGAACATTAAATTTGAAATCACGTGGTTGATAGTAGTCAGAATGTACATCACAAGTGAGGGTGTAGAAGTCAATGAGTATCTAGTATATAAACAATTTAAATAATTGCAATCCATCATGTCTCCATCAGGTGTCATGAATAATGGATTTCTGTTTTCTGAATAGCCACATCAAGATTTACCTTTGATTTCCTATTTTGACATTATATAAATAAATCGATGTGAAGATCTCAATAAAATTCAGAGGGAGCACCTATTACGTAACAGTTGTTCTCATGCTTGACTTTTTTTAAATATGCAGACGATGATGAAAAAAAATAAAAATTTTATATGATAATTAACTAATTATGTGAAATATAACAATAATTGCAAGCCAATTTTAGAAACAATTAAGGCTTTTTTTTAATCTGCGGCAGTCTTGAGGCATATAGTTTGGACCATCGCAGTCATGTTATTACGTTAATGAATATCTTACGAAGAACTTGGGGCAAAACAATATTACCGTTACAACATGATACCCCACTTCTGCGATATTGATTAATGTCAGGGTTGAAACGATACAGTCATTTCCGACGAAATATTGCCAATCTGTTATCTACTCAGTCAACCTCACCAACATACTCACTCGCTTGCTGTATTGAAACACGATTCGTTTTTTGAAACGTACACTGTATTTAACTATACACATACAGTATGAATTCATTTCAAACGAGCCGTAGGCAATCGCAAAATAATCCTACAGACAAAACAAGCCAATTATATATTTTTGTAATCCACTTTAATTATGAGTTTTAACAACACAGACAGAAACGTGTACATTAAACGTATAACTATATAGCAATCTAGAGATGTGTTGCCATAACATCAATTCGGTGTGTTTGATCACTTGTAATAGCCACACAATTTAACATATTTATATAAAAACATGTTGTCCAATCCAACGTACATAGCCAGTAATACAATGAAGTAAAAACATACGTGCAAAATAATAAGCCACTAATTGCAACCAACTAAGGCTAGATTAGTTTTCAATTGGTTTTTAATGTTAGCGCTAACATCAAAAGAACGTCCGCCACCGAAACGTTATTCGGGTGCATTGGAGATATTGAAGGTGACATTATTTTCATTCATTTATTTGTAGTACATTTTATCATCGTTTCATGAAACATATGCTATATGTCATACGTAAAACCTCATTCAGTTTAGGATTTATTTACCCACTACTACTTTACGCATGGATTAGTCATACATTGAAATTAGCTATTTTATAACACGTATCTTGCATTCGGTAAAATCGTGTTGCACTAGAAAGGCACTGTGTGTACTCTTGAATTAAACATTTATATCCTCATACAATAGTTTTAATATTTGATATACAAAGAATGATGCATTCAGTCACGTAATCTTTCTCAAATATACGAACACGCAAACAATCAAGTGTTTGTTCCACAAACTTGATTTTGCATGTATACAAACTACAAATTGAATAAATAACACGCCATGCATGGCACGGTCCTCGTTAGTTATCAAATTTTAGATATATAGTTTTGTTTATTGTAATATAGTGAGAACTTAAACATGTCTGAGATATGGATCCATAAGCTGATGCGTGATTTTTTTAACATTAAAATGTTTGATAACACGCCATGCATGGCACGGTTCTCGTTAGTTATCAAATTTTAGATATATAGTTTTGTTTATTGTAATATAGTGAGAACTTAAACATGTCTGAGATATGGATCCATAAGCTGATGCTTGATTTTTTTAACATTAAAATGTTTGATAACACGCCATGCATGGCACGGTCCTCGTTAGTTATCAACTTTTAGATATATCGTTTTGTTTATTGTAATATAGTGAAAACTTAAACATGTCTGAGATATGGGTCCATAAGCTGATGCTTGAATTTTTTAACATTAAAATGTTTGACATTCAATCATCTTGTATCTGGTCATCAAACGAGTAAATACAAAACAAATAAATCGAAAATAAAAGGCCACCGGTTTAAATACATCTGTATATCTATGACATGATGTATAATGAATATGAGGTTTTTACGAGGATATTGCAAAGTACGTGCACGAAGACAGTACAGGGGGTATCAACCGACGCGCAGAGGAGGTCGGTGCGGCGACCGCGTACTGTCCGAGTGCAAACTTTGCAGTATCCTCGTAATAACCTTTTTATTATACACCTTTTCCTTCCAAGGATACACCATGGAATACCGAAATCGAAAACGTTTAGAACAGATTTAGCGATCTTCTTTGTGTGGGGTTCTGTCAAAGCCTGGGGGCAGCAATGTTTGTTTTTATTATTAAAAGACGGTTACGCGCGTAATAGTTCCATATTTGCAATTAGCGTTTCCTAATACCGTAAGAATGGAAATACCCAATACTGTAAAATTTCCGCAAGTTACAAGTTACGGCGTTTCGGTGACAGATGTATAATAATATATATAACATTTGAACATAATCAGTCAGACCCTGGAACTGCATTCACTAAAACAAAATGGCTGCCAGTCGATCATTCGAAACCCGATCTGATAAACAAAATGAAGTGTATCATGGTTCCATAATGTTCAATTTGTGTACAAAGTTTGAACTGCGTCCAAACGGGGACTAATTAAAACGAATTAACATGTCAAAGTCGAGTGTTACACATGTTCGTATTATCTAGTATAGCTGCTTCCCAATATTTCAACTTGCTTGATCACAACCACACAGAGAACGTATAGTATAGTTACCAAGTTTAACTCAGAAACAGGTTCTGAAATGGCTTGCAACAGTAGGTTTCGCATCTGGTTTAGGCATTCATGACTTTAACCATGTAGCTATTTAATCTATTGTATATAGGAGCAGTAAATACAGTTATCAATATTAAATTGATTACGAAGTTGCGTGAGCGGAAACCTACAAAAAGACATCACTGTATGGCGAATTGATACAAAACATCCTACACAGCTTTTCAAAGCCTATATCAAACTGACCAAATACGGTATCGTGGTATATTTCACCGAAATGAACAAATAGAAATTACATCCCTGTTTTACAAGAATGTTACTCAATTTCATTTCATTTCGACTGCATCAGTAGATGAGCATTATAATCCCACGCTTCGGCGCTTTATTAACGAAACTTACATTTATATTGAATTTAAAATGTTACTACTCCGATTACATTGGGTGGGATATTGTACATTGGTATGAGCGGCTTTGGGATTTGTATCCATAAGAGAAGCGAAGACGTAGATAATTTATATTGCTTGTAATGCATTATAAACACACTACGTTGTATTTAATAAGATATATAAGTAATCATTTCACGAACTCTCGGCGCATTGTTTTTACTGTTCACATCTTATCTGTTTTACTATGAACCCACTCGACAAGTTCATTTTTCAAGAATCAAGGTCATGGTTACAGTTGTTATAAATAACCGTTGTTTAATTATCTGCGAAACGCATTAGATTGTATTATACATGATTCCTGCATTCTTAAATCAATTGAGATCAGTAAATGATTTTGATTATCAATTGCTAATTCAGTGAAAATTATATACGTAGGCAAGAAACTTGTGTTTGATTGAAATCAACCAACCTAAACGAAGATATTACATTTGCTGTGCAATTATTTGTTTTATCCCATTACAAGCATATTTCAACTGATATATGAAACTATTGGATACTGCCATGATCATTAACAGATATTTTGAGATTGTTAGCCATGATGCCTGTACCTTCGTCTACTTGTCTGGATCAAGCAGATTACAGGGATTTTTATTACGTGGTGTGGAGATATCGAACAATATTGCTATCACTATACTATCGAACTTTCATTGTATATGGGATTAATACATTTAACTATAATGTCGTATGTTTCCATAGTTACATGTGATAATTTTCTATATCTACATACTATGTGATTGAAATCTTACTAATTCAGTTGATCATTGTAAGCAGTTTGAACGTTTTGCGTGATCGGCTAACTTTAATACATGTATCGAAAACGCCGGGATGTAAGTCGTTCTGTGAGCTCACAATGCATTTCTTGGAGAACTGCTTAAAAATACAATAAATCGAATTATTTGTAGGAGTTTTAGTTTTAAATAACTCGTTTATTTTTCTAACTCTCCTAAGCTCATCTTTTATACTGTTTTTATTCAACCCAGCAGACGTAATTTTTCTCCTTCATCCCCACATTACTAATGCTTTCTTGTCTGAAACCATATTATACTGATGTCAATGAAACCATACATTTAACAAGAGGATAAATGTAGTAGGGTACAATGATCTTTCATGCAAAATGAGACGACGAATCGGTACTTATCAAGTATTAGCTTGCGATTACAAATTACATTTCCAATAGGTTTTTTTTTGTTTAAATTCTGCGAAACGGATATATATAGAATATCGAATTCGTGAAACTCGTGTAGTAATTGTTATCTGTATATGTTACACTGTACGGGTTTAATACGTCTGATACTACAGCGTCCTTGACGTGACATCCTCTACATGCACTTCACAAATACTCTGAGAACTAAGATGCTTAGCATTTTACTTCAAACAAGGTCAACTGCTTACCTTGAACGGTCTCGGTAAGTGTGGTCTTTTCCACCTGAGGTATGGGATTGCTGTAATGGTTAGACCGATAAATAACCACCGCAGGAAACTAAGATAATTGATAAGACTGTAGACATTGTCGTTGATCAGCATCATCAAACAAATTGGAAGCTGAAACAAAAATAGAACATATTCGCGACTCGTAAATATCTTACACAACATGTTTCAAGAGATACACATCAACAATATTATATTTACGTTAAGTAGCATAGCTATACAATTTTCCTAGAAGTGGCGCCCTCTAGCGCCGAAATACTTCTGTGGCGTTATGATGATGCAGTTGAACCCAAACATATAAGTATATGATTTTTATACGAAATATAAACAATCTCCCTGATTGGTCTGAATGTTATAATTAAGTATTTGGATTGGGTTTCATTGTATAGCTGTGTAGTCGTTTCTTATTTAGAATATAGCAACGCTTTATCAAACAGATTTTGTTGTTGTGTTTTTTTTTTATTGATAGGTGACCAGAGTTTAAAGCAAAATCGCTGCTGTGAACAGCACGTAATACCGATTTACCTCACAGGAACGCTTCGTTGAGCAACTGATGAGTTCTTGGAAATTGGAGATAATTTGTGAATACATTATTTATCGATGTCAAACGGAAACGCAAGTGGGATGGCGGATGTACGTAGGAAAAATAAAACACGACCTGCTCTATTATGAAAATATATCTATTTTTGAACATGTACTTTACGCCATGTTGACCGCGGTTAAATACGAAAATAGAATCGTTTTGATCAACCTTAAGCCCTGCAAAAGAATTTCCTGCTTGGGATTATGGGATATGTTTCTTCCTTTTCTTATATCATCATCAGGTAATGTTAGAAGTGTTTGCGACTCTCTCATGGGGGAGAGAGCGTATATAGACACAAGGCGGCAGCTTGGGTGAATGTTTAAATCGCACTACATCATATTCCAGTTGTGGTCACATTACACATATAATATGATTTCTGGTTTTGTAAGAGATCATTTCAATGATATATTACGACATTACAAATTCAATGAACGTACGCGGATTACAAGCACTATGTAAAATTGAGAATCATTTTAATCTCACGTGTCCGATGCAACTGTTATTCCATCACGATATGAGTTATAATAGCGTTAGAGAGATATACCGACTTACCGTAACTAAAACGGCTGGGATTGGAGTGAATCTTCGTATATGAATCATGGCAAGGGCGTCCGGGAGGTGTCCCTCTCTCGATGCCACAAAAAACATCCTGTAATTTGGCATAGCATACTTTGTAACAAGGTTTTACATAAAAAATGCAATGACTGACATTATTTTAACAGTGCTGGTACTTATTCGTGTGTCTTGATACAACGCATCAATCGCAATGACGTATGAGGTGTTTTATTTAAAACAAAACTAGTGGCACGTTTGAACAACTGTCATTTCAATACCATTTATTGGCGAATGATGCGTGTTTTTTTTAATCTTTTAAAATGTCAAAATACGTACACATAAACTAAAATAACTACAGAATATGACAGGCTTTTTTGGTGTATTGTTTTCAATAAAAAATATTTCTTTGCATCGACTTGGCATATAATAATCATGTGACTTAACATGTATCAAGAAGATAAATAGAGCCATTAATCATACATTATTAGTAATTATAGTAATATACCGAAGACGTAAAAGGTCGCGAGATCGCATTGATTGCGGGAGCACAACGTGACTTATTTTTGCGCTTCAAATACTTTCATTCTCTCGTGTCATTTTTTTTCTGCTGCTCTATGTGATCACTATAACAAAGGATGCGATGACGGGAAAGGATAAAGCACTATTTAGTCTCGAGGAAAAGACAAACGAGATCTCGACAGCAGTTCGAGTTTAATTACTACTAGCTAGTTAGTATGACTACTCACCTTGGTGTTGTCAGGAGGTTGGCCGTTACAGTACCAGCCGTTGACAGCGCCACAAACAATGGCACAGTCCAAGCCATCGAACTAAACGCATGATACGCGAAATCCTTAAAAAATAAACGTAAGAACATTATTTATTTCGGGAATTGTCATTAAATACAAACGTTCATCAGTATTCCCCAATAACCAATTGTTAACAGAAAAATCTGTTAAAGTATAACTATTCTTTGTTAACTACAAAACTATCAGCATAGAATTCTTCTACATATTTAACATAAATGAATAGCCTAAACGGTAATTAAACAAGACAATAAAAGAATATTGTTATGTAGTCAGGGCGCTGTAGCTAGAGATTTGTTTCCATATCAAAAGCAGTGTACTATTTGTGCAATTATAAAATAACTGCAATGTATTTACCGGCAATAAAAGTAATCTCACTAAAACCAAATTACCAATAAGATGCTAATATTTACGCATATTAGCTTATACTACTGCAAGCAATATAAAGTCATAGAATTCGATGAATAATTTGACAATTGTCATTACTTTGGATTAATTGAAGTATGGCATCGCATCGAGCTATCAACTGTGTAGTAAATAATCGCTACATTCCATACAATACAATTAAAAACACAAAACATTGTGATGATTGTACTACAATACAGTCATCCAATCAAACTGGAAACTACGAGCGACCAAGCATTAAGCTTGCCGGGCATGATTTCATATTCCAAATTGGTTCAATGTTACGAGTATACATGGCTTTCAGTACAGTCATACAACTGAGTAGGAATGTATTACACAGATTAGCGCTGACATATACACTCAACTATCAAGGAAAGTAACACATTTGATACTTCTAATATAACTGTCATTATATATAAATTGTTTTAAAAAGTACGATAGTCTGTGACGGTGGTGTATCCAACAATTAAGATGTGATTCATTGGTGTATTCACCTTAATAATAGTACGTATGCGAAGCATGTTTTGCGTTTTCGGATACACCCAATATACAGAGGTATAAAAACCCAACTGAAGAACTTTGACAGAATGTTTAACAGTTCAGTACAAGTAACTGTTTTCATGCGATTAAATTTACGTTGTTTGGTTATAGTTCAGTATACAGTTTTGAACTTTGTTTATGTCGATATAATAATGGACGAACGCAGATCCGATCTCCACGCCGTGAGCTGTACTTATGTATCGATCGGATTAAGCTTACGTTCTCGGAGTTTCATGTGAAACGGTCCTTAAAACATCCATGCTATTGCGTTGATTTGTAATAACGTACATTTAATGTGTTGAATACGTGGCATTGTGTTGTAAATACACGTAGTGAACTATGTTTGGTATGTCGCGATGTTAGAAAATATCTGATTACAAAAGAAAACAATAATTCTATTAATTTAAATAGGTAAACTATCACCTTTAGAATGTTTTACATCATTGTAATTGTTGATTGGTAGGCTACCAACATACAATACTATTTCTACTTAACAGTTTAGTACAATTTCTCTACGTATAAGTGTCTCTATTTTGTCATTAACATCGTATTTCGTGGGTGGCATACTGTACATATTCAATCTGTCTCGTTTAGAACCAGTGAAATTAGTCTGGTGGTTAGCGTGTGTATACGGCGTAGAATATAATATCAACTGAAAAAATAATAACGGTTGCTGCACGATGTAATAACAGAGGAAATATAAGTATATTGTTAACAAAAGTACGACACATTACGAATGACCTAATAGGACACATTTTGCAATAAACCACGATGCATTTTCTTTATTAAATTTCCTTAAAATAGACTAATGTAATCGCATAGCACCATTTATATACATTTCGTAAAATAGTATGATTGTTGTCATGGCACCAAAGTTAGTAAATGGTAAAACGGCCATAAATGTTTGACAAGATGTCATTGAGAGTGAGAATTGCCCTAACGAGACTTGTGTTTGCCCCCAAATTGCGTCCTATTCTCCTTCGTTATCTCGTCTACTGTCCTAGCCGTGGAAGCCTTAGTATCCGGAACAGTGGACGCGACAACGTAGAGAATCAATTACACACACAATTGAACTACAGTGTGACTTACCACAGCTACAGCTTCTGAATCCAGTAATTCTTTAGGCGCAAGAATGGTGAAGTAAGACACGTTAGTAAGAATATACACGATGGTCACCATAACCATGGATATAATAACAGACTTCGGCAGCGTCCTGTGGAGAGAGTATGATTATATTATATTATTATACATCTGTCACCGTATCGCCATAAGTTACAGTCTGCCGTAATTTTGCGGTACTTTACGGGTAATTTTCATCCTATCATATAAGGAAATGCGAATTCCAAATATGGAATGATTACGCGGGTAAGCGTCGTCTAATAATAAAAACAAACATGATTGCCATCAGGGTTTGACCGAACTCCACACAAAGAAGTTCGCTGATTCTGTTCTAAACTTTTTGGATTTCGGAATTCCATGGTGTATCCTTGTACAATAATAAAGTTATTACAAAGACACCTCAAAGTATGCACTGCGCGTCGGTCGATACTCCCGCTGTATTGTCTTCGTGCATACTTAGTAATCGAGTAATCCTCGTAATAACCTCGTATTATATTACACGCTAGTTTCGAAACAAAAATACTTTATATTGTGCCTCGAAACACAACACTATCTTGTGTGCTCAAAACATTAATTATTAATCCGATTCTCTTCAATCTTCGACGTTGGAGATAAGTAGTCCATTTCAGCAGTTTCTCTAGTCATTTAAATAACGTGAATGTGAAAGTGAATAAGATCGAGGTAGCTGATAAGTAGAATGTTCAAGTATCACTGAAAGCGATTGAATCTGAAGGTCGTCCAAACAACACGAATGTATTGAAAGAACCTTTTGCACAGAATGTGGACGACCTTACAAGAGACACAAATGAGATCAGCTTAATAAATATATAATTAGTAATATATAATCTGCAAATTTTTATTTTCGGTTTATTGATAATTTGTATCTGGCAAACTGAATGAACAATGATAACATTAGATTTGTTTACACAGAGCGACCAGATTAAATATATCAGGATGGTTTCTGATTTTCACCAATTTCACCAATAATTAACAGTATGACGTGTTAAATTATACATCATGCGGTGATTTAATTCGACGATAAACAGCCTCGATTGAAATAGGGAAAGTATGTGTATCTTGTGCTTGAATGAATTAAATGCATTAATCTAGCTAGCCTTTGCTGACAGTGGAACTGGTTTCGAATAATTGCGTAGATAATATGAAAATATGAGCGGGTTGTTAACATGAAAACGCATTTTCCATATGAGCAATGACGTATCACAACATTGTAGACAATAATACATGGCGCGGCACTGTGTCGTGAAAATTATTAGAATGCAAGCTTCCATAATGAAACATATCAAGGAAATGATATATTAAGTGAAATAACAGCTTCTTTTGTATGTTTTCCCCCAATAATAGCGTTATGTATTCAGAGTATCTAATGGTGCACTATTCACTCAACCATCCGTAGTTCGTAAATTACCTGCAATCAGACGGTAATAATCAACAAGCGGCCCCTGGTTCCATAAACTCGGCTGTTATTATAGAAAAGACAGACATAAAAACCTAGTGTAACGTAACTACAGCAATGTGTGATGGCAGCCCATACCGTCTAGACATTTGTCAATTATTAGTTAATAAATTATTTAGTTGTCAAATTATGCGGATTTAAGAAAGAATCCTGAAGTTACTTTTTCCTACCAATTTAGAAGGTATTTATCACGAAGGTATAAGTAAGTTAATTAATACACACAACTAGAGAGCGATTTCATGAATATTTGTTTGAATTGCTTTTACATGCATTATGTATATTCCTACGTACTGTCAATGTTCATACACGGCTAATACAATTTAATGGGTAACTGAATATACGGACGTAGTGTACACACACCAACTAGTATAAAACACATTAGCAAAGGTCATGATATAATGACCTTCTGATTTGCAAATTGTCGGCACAAATGTTACCCTATCCGTCATAAAGAATACATTTCTGTCTATTAAATAGTTCGAAGAAAGAAGACTTGTGGCTAGTCTGAGGTCTCTTACATTTTAAATTATTAATCCATTAATAATAAATAACTGAATTAGACCTAAAAACGGAGAAGGTGCATCTAAACATCAAACCAAATTACAAATGACAAAATTATTCTCTAAATGTATATATGACGGTCTAGCTACGTATATAGATTTTCAACATTATTGAAAAATATGGAGGAGAAAATAATATAATCATCTGAGACAGCAAGCTGTATCGCTTTACTTTTAACTGAATAGGTTTCAAGTAAATAATTTACCAGGCTACACACATTTACACACAATTTACCAACGTATTTATCAATTTATTTTGCGTAACAGATATTAATGTATGCTCCAAGTCTACGTGCAATAATATTTTTTTCCTCTCCAGAGGTCAATTAGTATATCTAGTGTTATGCGACCCAGCTAATTACTTCGAAACGTACATCTAGTCGGTCATTACACAATGAATTACGAAGATGGTTGATAATAGTCTCCTTACAGGTGTACGCGGTTGATGCGTGTTATCGTCAGTTATAAACGATCAATTACTGGCGTCTGAATTGACTGTCTTTCACTACACGACGCTGTTCGATGCAAATTATCTAAAATAATAATTGCTGCGTCATAATGTCCACATCGCTGATTATTTTTGTTAAAATGAACTAACACACATTAGAAACGATCTTTTAGAAAATCTTATGCCAACTCAGATTCAAAAAATAGTTATGGCAGTCTATCAATAATGGTGAAATACCATCCAATTGAGTGAGTTGAACAGAAAGAAATCGTATGCATACAAGCAATATTGTGATACCTGAGTTGCTTGTTTTGGAAAGAATACGTTCATATTGATTAATAGTCTGATTTACAAATCAATGAGGAACTTTTTCAAGACAACGTAATCGTTATAATGATTAAATTTTAGTGATTGTGTCATACATTTGACCAGAACACGTTTCATTTTTACATAAAGAAGTCGATTCTGAATTTTATTGGATTTGATAACATTCGCAGATGATTGCGATAATTCGACAATCTGTATGTCTGCAACAGAGATACGAGAAGGCACAGTGTGTTTTTTTTATCTGTTATCAGCATAGTTGTATCTTACCTCGCTGGCTCTTTTATCTCTTCTGTGACGTAATTGATGTAAAACCTGCAACATAAATCGATAGTTATTATATAATTCTATTGGCATTCGCGCCTCAGATTAATGAGTCGTTTATGGTTGTCTAGACGATTGGGGCCGTAGAGTTGTCTTAGTTTAGTTGTAATTGTCAAAACAATTCATAAAAAGCTTGCGTCCTAAAGAATAGATCCATATCAGAGGCGAGTTTTTACATAACCCCAATATTCTATTACGCAAGATATTATGTGGTTTTAGACAAAATATCACACATACATGTTAAATTTTCAGGGGAAATGTACATATATGTTGTACCTTTTGGGGTTAAGTCCCGCCAATGACAATACTATCGACGGGAAGTGCATCGGTACGATTTTACAATTTTACGTAAACTGGTTCCGACACTGACAAGTTCAAGATCATTTAATACAATGTCTGTTGTTTGCACGTTACAAAAGTTCACAAATTATGTATGAAATAGATTTCTACGATCACATAGCAATTCAACATCCCACCCTGTTTTCCCTGAAACTCTGTATGATTATCAATAGAAGAAGGTGAGTGAAAAACAGCCGCGATAAGTATACTTCTTTGGGTTCAATTTTCGTTAATATAAAAAAATATATAAATTGTATAATTGTAGCATGTTTCCGTCACAGGTCGTAAGGAAGTGAGTTAATCTGCGAGAAAGTATAATCTGGCGTGGCGTGACAGGAAATCGTCCACTAAACGCCCAAAGCTAATTCCCCATATCATGGATATTAACGGGTGTGATGACGATTTATGTAACACAGTATTATATTATTCGCAATCATGTGAAACGACACCAAACGCCATAGAAAAAGCATGTGCAGTCTGTAAGCACATATCAGTATCTGCGTTGGATATCACAAATGTCCAAAAATGGTTTGCTGAAATAACCACATTTTGTTAAGCTGCAGTGATGGATTATCATTTATTTTACATTTTTATAATTTTTAGTGATTATAAACGTTGCTATGAAAGGCATTTGTAGAACTGAATATCATATTTGCAAAACAATAAAAATAAAAACAGCATTTTGATATGATATAACGTAAATCAATGCGTGCATGTGTTGGTAACGGTTATTTAATGTTATATTATTATATGATCATTAACGATAGAAAATTTCAGAAGCGATACTTTAGCGGAGCAATTATAACATACTATTTCCAAATGTTGGAGTTAAGGTCGTGCATAAAATAGCTAACACGTCGAGTTGCGATGACAATTGTCTTATTTTATTTTGTCATGGATAAAATAAATTGTAAGATGGTGAAACGGACGTATACTGTGTAGAATCGAGCCATCGCTATTTGATCTTTACAGTACAGCGTGATTCATTTGTTATTTGTACTGTTCCAGTGAGTATAAATAATTGAAACGTCTCATGGTAAGCTCGATGATTCCCCTAAGACATTTCTTCGGTTCTACTTAGAAATCATCGTAGGGTATCGCGAGTATTCGTATGCACTTGCAGCACACGAATGTGTGTGTGTGTGTGTGTGTGTGTGTGTGTGTGTGTGTGTGTGTGTGTGTGTGTGTGTGTGTATGTGTGTACTTGGATTGCTATATGTTGCGAGGACAAAAATACAGATATATAGCTACTTCCGAGGACATACACACCTTCCGAGGACCTTTTTCATAGTCCTCGGAAAACATAATTTATATTAATAGTTAATT